AGAGGGGCAGTAGAAGGCAGAGGGAGGGGGGGGTAGGCAGGTGGATTTCAATGAGTTCAGTGAGGGAGTAGGCAGGTGGGTGGGGTCATAAATGGGCCTTTGCAACCATTCTCCCTCCTCAGTTCTTTCATTCCTTCCTTGCAAAGAATCCAGTTCTGCCTGGCTGACTTTTACCAGGCCCTGCCCTGAAGAGTGGGAGACAAATGAAATCCCTTGATGTGGTGAGTTTACTGGCTACTCTCCTCCCAGGCAGAGAAAGGGGGGTGCCAGCCAGAGAGCATCCTGACAGCCAGAACTGGACACTGCAGGGCGGGCGAGGTAGGAGAGGATGGAGACTGGGGAGACAAGCTGCCTCCCACTGCATTGTGTTTTTCCGAGTCAGTCCCTTGGGGAGTTTGATTTGTTCTCTATCCTTCCCTTCAGGAACATGGACTTTGTAAAGGAGGTGGCAGCGCTGTAGGGTCCAGCTGGCTCTAGTAAGACCTGCCTGACGCTGGGCACCAAGACCAGACTGGGTCACCAGGGCGGGGGCACTCTCAGGACTGGATACCTGGACTGTGCCTTCCTGGAATTCCTCCCATTCCCTGGGTCTGCTCTGATCCCCAGAGTCAAGGCCTATGTGAGTGTCTGGTCCCTAGGAGGACAAGGGGTCGGTTTCGAACTTACTCCAACCTGCACAACCCCGGTCCCCTGTGGGCAGGGTGGGGTTGTTTAACTTCTCTCCCTGCTGAGGGCGGTGAGCGAAGAAAAGGGGAGGAGCCCAAAGGGGCCTGGATTTGTAAGTCTGGGCCCTGACTCTACTTCCAGGCTCCAGTTCTGGCCCATTTCTCATCCTAAGATTTCTGCCCAGAAACCGCCTTAAATTCTGAGGTCCATTCCCACCCCTTCTGTCCCTCTCCTCTACCCCCTGTCCTCCCCACATGCTTCTGCAGAAAGTAATTAGGGCCAATGGAGCAACTGACCCACCACTGAACCCTCACCTTTCCCAGGGACCCTTCCCCAGAGGGGGCCAGCTTCCCAAGCCCCTTCCCAGAATGGATCCAGTGCATTTCTCTTTTTTTTGAAGAGGTGTTTTTGCTATAGGGCCTGTGTGCTCGCCAGACGGACAGAGAGAGACAGAGAGACAGAAAGCGAGAAATCACCCCCCAGGGGGAATGGCCATGCTGCAATCCCTTCTCCTCCATTCTCCTCTTGGGATCTTGGACACACACGCACATGCGCCCAGTGTGAGTTTTAAGCCACCAGGTCCGGGACATGAACCGCAGTCAACTGCGGGGGAGTCCAGCGACGTAGCCATTATGCTAACTGCTGGTCCCCAGTGCATTTCTCTTTGACCCAGCTCCTGACCGACTTCGAGCAAGAGGAAGACATTCCTTCTCTTCCTAAAGGGAAATACTAATAATTAACAATAGCTATTCTGAACTAAGAACAGCTGTGCCAGTGCTTTGCATGATCATCTTCATTCTTACAACAACTGAGCAAGGAAAGTACAACTATTCCTATTTTACAGATGAGGACTTTAAGCATAAGTCACTTACCTAAACAGATGGTGGGGTTGGGATTCAAACCCAGCTCCAGCCTGGCCTGGTGGCAGTCAGTAGCAAATTGAACTGCAATTCTGGAAGCCACGTGACTGACTATGGTTCAGATCCCTGAGTTGACCTGAAAACACACTGGGATGCGTGTGTGTCCAAGATCCTGTGAGCTGGAGGGCTGGCTGGGAAAGGGAGGAACATTTTCCCCTTTCTCTCTCGTACATGTACCCATTCTCTTGAATGAACTAAATAGATGTCTAAAGTACCCCACTTCATTTAAAGTTTGCTCCCCCAAAGTGAACATGCATTATAAATGACCCAGCTCGTTACATTTGCTGGCGAACGCTCTGTTAATTTTCTCTGATTTTTGCATGCTTCCCTATTCCTCCTCCCCAACACTGTGCAAATGATTCTGTTTACAACTATTCTAAAATCCCCCAGCTATGTCCACCCAAGGATCAGCTTTCCAGTACTGCTGGGCCTAGACCATGAATAGATTAGACTGTCAGATTGAAGTATTTGAGGAGCAGATGCAAAGACAGAATTAGAGGCACCAAAATTAATTGGAGAAAACACCTGTGAAGCATAAAGAGGATGGGAGTAGAAGCAGCAGGAAGAGCTTACACCTGCACAAGGCACGAGCAGGGAGGACCGGGTGGGAAGAGTCTCACAATACTGAGTGAGCCAGGCCAGTGGGGAATCCCAGCAAAGATTGCCTATGACACGAGTCCTCTGCAGGCAGAAATGGTTCAGTTTTGGTACTTCAGGAGTGCTCAGTCATTGGCTGGAAGCAGCCAGGGGCAACATGGACATGGAGGCAGACAGAACATGCAGAGGCTGCAGCCTGTTGGCCCTTCTCCTAGCCCTTCTCCCAGCAGGTTTTCTCAAAGGGCGAGTGAACAGTGCACTTCCTCTGCCACACAGACCCGACTTGCCCCTCTGACTTATGGACACCAACATCCACTTCTGTTCACATAACCACCTTTCAAACAAGAAAACAGCTGCTGGTGGGGCCGGTAGGTGATGTGGTTAAGGGCACTGGACTCCCACATGGCTGACCGCAGTTTGAGTCCCAGACAACAGCTGTGCCAGTGCTTTGCATGATCATCTTCATTCTTACAACAACTGAGCAAGGAAAGTACAACTATTCCTATTTTACAGATGAGGACTTTAAGCATAAGTCACTTACCTAAACAGATGGTGGGGTTGGGATTCAAACCCAGCTCCAGCCTGGCCTGGTGGCAGTCAGTAGCAAATTGAACTGCAATTCTGGAAGCCACGTGACTGACTATGGTTCAGATCCCTGAGTTGACCTGAAAACACACTGGGATGCGTGTGTGTCCAAGATCCTGTGAGCTGGAGGGCTGGCTGGGAAAGGGAGGAACATTTTCCCCTTTCTCTCTCGTACA